TATGTGATAAAGTTTATTATAGTCAATCTGGTAAAAGTCTTGAACTAAGATTAAAATAACATAAATATAGCATTAGAAGTGGACAAGATTCTAATGCTCTGTTTATTCATGTGAGAGATTTTAACCATCCAATTGATTTTCAACGGCAGAGAAGGTTGTATCTAGCAAGTTCATGGTCGACAGGAATATAATAGAATCTTGATTCATAAAAAAAATACTTTTGAAAATAATGTGAATATTGTTTTTGGGTTATACAAATTGGATTCATTTATAATTGAGAAGAATTTAAGATATATTAAACAAATTAAAATTTGGGTAGAATTTAATATACACTGGAGAATTTTTTTGGTGTAGACTACCTGGTAAGTAAGACACATAGGCAACATTTAGGTAACTTTATTTTGAAACGTTTCGCCTACACAGTAGGCTTCTTCAGTCGAGTACAGAAAGTAGGCAGGAGCAGTAGAGATGTGAAGACGATGTAACCAGTCCATCACCCTTGAAGACGTAGATTTAAGACTGTCAGTTCCTCAGCCTGGAGATGAGTTCCGTTCCATAGTCTGAAACAATGTGAAGTTCAAGGAACAGTGTGGAGACTTATATATAGTGAGGAGACATATTTGCAAATATTATCTCTCAGTCTGTTGCAGGATTCGAACCTGCAAACTCGGCATCAGGGTACACAGAGTACATCAGAGCACAAAGTACTTAATCTGGAGTCTGGCTTTGGGGATAAAGTACTGTGTACTCAGATGCCGATTTTGTAGGTGCGAATCCTGCTGTGGACTGAGAGATAATGTTTTGTACACACACACACACACACACAATATATATATATATATATATATATAATATATATATATATATATATATATATATATATATATATATATATATATATATATATTATATATATATATATATATATATATATATATATATATATATATATATATATATATATATATATATATATATATATATATATATATATAATTCGTGCTGAATAGGTAAAACTGGTCAATTACCAAGAACTCATTTAAAATTAAAATTTTCTCTTATACGTTTAAAGATGTATTTATTCATTTATGTTAATGTAAAAATTAATAATTTTGTACCAGAAGAACCTTAGAAAATTTACCTAACCTCATTACAAATGAATGCAATTTAATTTAGCCTAATCCAACTAAATATATTTCAGATAAGTTTGCAATAATATAATAAAGAAATACAATGAAATATATTTTTTTCGTTTGGTTCAGGATGATTTTTACGAAATTACTACATACACAAATTTTCCCTTGCCTTATTCGGAAAGAAGAGCGTTGCTATTTAAGCCAAAATCACACATTTTACCTATTCAGCACGACATATATACATATTAGGGATGCCACGGAACCAAAATTTTGACTGATACCCTGTCATTGTGGTCCAGTAGTTGTGAGAGTTAGGAGCGACCTGCTCTAAACTCATTTTTCCCTGGGTTGTGCAATTATTTGGCGTCCAAGTGGTTAGCGATCTTGCTTCTTAGAACCCTTTCAAAGATTTTTATGATGTGGGTCGTTAGAGCTATCGTTCTATGATTCTCTGCTATTGCTTTACTGCCACCTTTTTGGAGTGGGGCAATATCCGTTGTTGTCAGTGACCGTGGAATGACACTCGTGTCAAGGCTCCCTCTCCATAGCATACTTAAGGCATGCGAAAGAGGTTTCTTGCAGCTCTTGATGAACACGGAGTTTCCATGAGTCTTCGCCTGGGGCTGAGTACATGGGGGATGTTGTCAGTGGTCTTTTCAAAGTTTAGTGGAGAGAGGGTTATGTCAGAAATTTTGGATATATTGACAAGGTTTTGAGCCTCGTTTATATAAAAAAGTTCATTTCGATTTTCAATCTTTAAATGGTCTGATTAATGGCTCACTAAACATAGTCATATTAAAACTTCAGTATCTCAGTCGTTTCTTTGCCGTCTTTACTGTAAGTTCCATGTTGTTTGAGCAATGGCACTTTACTGGATGTGGTTTTTACCTTGTTTTTGGCCTATTAAAAGAAATAATTTGAATTTCTTTCAATTTCATTAATTGCTCTCTATTCCTTCTATTTCTCCTGCATCCCGTATGAGTCATTAAACTTAAGTTCAATATTTTCTATTTCCGTAGTCAGTGCTTCCTTCCGCACTTCAGAATGACTAACCCCCATGAGAAGCTCAGTGATTCTTTGCTTTTACTTGTAGAAGGTGAGGTCAGCTTGTGCTAGCAGCTGGTCCAGTCAGGACTTCCTTTTAAGCGGGTAGTTATAGCACAGTACATGATTCCACTAACTGACATAGTAATTAACAAGACAAACTAGAGGGAGAGAAAAACAGATTGACAGACAAACAGACAAAGAGACGGAAAACGAGCACACACACACACACTAGTGGCTAGGAGCTGTGAATCGACCCCTGCAACCACATATAGGTGAGTACACACACCACGCACGCAAGAGCACATGTGGGCAACAGAAGTGGGCGGACACTGGTTGCCTGAGGGCTCTGCCTGTCTCTCACCACTGATGCTCTGACAGCTCTCTCCCCCCACCCCCTTGCGCCCACACACACACACACACACACACACACACACACACACACTCACACACACGCACACACTCACACACACACACACACACACACACACACACACACACACACACACACACACACACACACACACACACACACACACACACACACACACACACACTAGTGGCTAGGAGCTGTGAATCGACCCCTGTAACCACATATAGGTGAGTACACACACCACGCACGCAAGAGCACATGTGGGCAACAGAAGTGGGCGGACACTGGTTGCCTGAGGGCTCTGCCTGTCTCTCACCACTGATGCTCTGACAGCTCTCTCCCCCCACCCCCTTGCGCCCACACACACACACACACACACACACACACACACACACACACACACACACACACACACACACACACACACACACACACACACACACACACACACACACACACACACGCACGCAACCACAAATAGGTGAGTACAAATAGGTGAGTATGTCAGCATAGTTGCTGATCCCTGTATTCCCTGTATTATATAGCATAGCATATTAGTATCATCCATGTGCTTTAGACACGAGACCCCTCGTAGGCCTGTGGCTTTGTGTGACGTCACGGGATGCACACGAGGAGGCCCATTCCTCTGTCCCGGCCTCACTCGGCGGCAGACCATCCAGGCCCAGAAACTGGCTTCTCGAATTCAACCCTGCCAAATGCAAAGTCATGAAGATTGGGGAGGGACAAAGAAGACCGCAGACAGAGTATAGGCTAGGTGGACAAAGACTACAGACCTCACTCAAGAAGAAAGATCTTGGGGTGACCATAACACCGAGCACGTCACCGGAGGCACACAACCAAATAACTGCTGCAGCATACGGGCTCCTGGCAAACCTGAGAATACCGTTCCGATACCTTAATAAGGAATCGTTCAAGACACTGTACACTGTGTATGTTAGGCCCATACTGGAGTATGCAGCCCCAGTCTGGAACCCACACCTGGTCAAGCACGTCAAGAAGTTAGAGAAAGTACAAAGGGTTGCAACAAGGCTAGTCCCAGAGCTCAGTGAAATGTCGTACGAGGAAAGGTAGAGGGAAATCGGACTGACGACACTGGAGGACAGAAGGGTCAGGGGAGACATGATAACGACATACAAGATACTGCGGGGAATAGACAAGGTGGACAGATAGGATGTTCCAGAGAGGGGACACACAAACAAGGGGTCACAACTGGAAGCTGAAGACTCAGACGAGTCACAGGGACGTTAGGAAGTATTTCTTCAGTCATAGAGTCGTCAGGAAGTGGAATAGCCTAGCAAGTGAAGTAGTGGAGGCAGGAACCATACATAGTTTTAAGAAGAGGCATGGCAAAGCTCAGGAAGCAGAGAGGGAGAGGACCTAGTAGCGATCAGTGAAGACGCAGGGCCAGGAGCTGAGTCTCGACCCCTGCAACCACAATTAGGTGAGTACAATTAGGTGAGTACAATTAGGTGAGTAAAGAAAGTGTGACTCGACCCTTGCGATCACATACATGTGGGTACACATACACACACAAACAACAACATCTAGAGATTTTTAACAAGAACATTCTCAGACCTGAAGTAATAAACTGTGGGGGAAGACTATGGAAATTAAATCTGGCAACTTTAGAAGAGAGAAGGGATAGAGGAGATATGATTACAATATACAGGATATGCAGAGGCTTACCTGGGAGTCACAGAGGCGAGTGGGTATAAAATAAGCCAAATACTCAGATTAAAGAATGCTGTAGAGATGAGAATCTCAGACAGTGATAATGAAAATTACTTATTGATAAATTTATGTTAGTATATCACAAAATATTACAACCTTGCCTTAAACAAGAGACTAATGTTCTTATTGATATTTCGCTGAATTAAAAAACACATAAGAAGCATTCCAGGTGTTGCACTATCAGAACTCTGCGTTAATGGTATTATTTATTCATGTGATATTTATAATAACGTCGCAGGTTTTTCGAAATCAAATTTAAGCTTATATTTCTTATTTTAAATGTGTAAGTCATTTTCAGGTAGAAAACTCACTGTTTTTGAAGTTTCTCTTAATCCACCTAACAATAATTATTTATTGACCTTACTATTTTCATTCCTACCAATCTTTTCATAATGTTTCATTCCGAGCAAAGTTATATATTTTTTTTTTTTTGAATCTGCTATTTTTTTTTTTTTTTTTTTTTTGGTCCGTGCTGCTAACCTTCATTTTATTCTTTGACTACACTTCTCCCTCTTTTAGCGGACAACTTCGATACAAATCACACGATACTTTGTCACACTCTCTTCTACACAATTCCGTCTTCCTACCTCATCTTTACTTACCACTTCTGTACCTTCCTTTCCGCCCTATCGTGATATCTTCCTTTCTCTGCTTCGTCAGTGACATGTTCTTTCTTTCTCTCCCCCCGGTCGCAGGGAGCAGCCAGGGAGCGCATGCAGCAGGGAGAAATGTTGCCCTCGGAAACTAAGCTAATGAGGCAGTGTGAGTCCTGCGGGGTCTCCCCTGAAGACTGTCTCAAGAAACTGGGTCTTCACTCAGACCACGTCGGGTAAATATCTCCGAAAAATTTTCTTCTCTCAATTTTTCCATGGAGTCGCTTCAAACTGTATTGTTGTTAGTCAATTCGTCAGGAAAACTCTGATTGTTCTTTCTGTCATATGACCAGTTCTGAAGTGCCAGCGCTATGGCAGGGAAAAGGCAAGGTAAGACAGTGTACCCAAAGATGTGTGATGACATTTAGGCGAGGTACTTGATGGTCTTTTAGTGGACCAAGGTAGCAGTGACCACTGCTTACCTGTGCTAGACTCAGTCTGTCTACCTATGGTCTGAGTGTCACTGCAGTGAGCCACGGCTGCAATGGTCACTTGTTTACCTTTGTTGGACTCAGTGATCTGAGTGTCACTCTGGCAGGCCAAGCAGCAGTCACCCCCACTGGCTGACTGCTGAGTGTCACTCTGGCAGGCCAAGCAGCAGTCACCCCCACTGGCTGACTGCTGAGTGTCACTTGGCAGGCCAAGCGCATTCCCCCCACTGGCTGCTGCTGAGTGTCACCTGGCAGGCCAAGCAGCAGTCACCCCCCTGGCTGACTGCTGAGTGTCACTCTGGCAGGCCAAAACAGCAGTCACCCCCACTGGCTGACTGCTGAGTGTCACTCTGGCAGGCCAAGCAGCAGTCACCCCCACTGGCTGACTGCTGAGTGTCACTCTGGCAGGCCAAGCAGCAGTCACCCCCACTGGCTGACTGCTGAGTGTCACTCTGGCAGGCCAAGCAGCAGTCACCCCCACTGGCTGACTGCTGAGTGTCACTCTGGCAGGCCAAGCAGCAGTCACCCCCACTGGCTGACTGCTGAGTGTCACTCTGACAGGCCAAGCAGCAGTCACCCCCCCTGGCTGACTGCTGAGTGTCACTCTGCAGGCCAAGCAGCAGTCCCCCCCCACTGGACTGACTGCTGAGTGTCACTCTGGCAGGCCAAGCAGCAGTCACCCCCACTGGCTGACTGCTTCTAACTTACAAGGCTGATGTTTTTAACCAGAAATAACTTATTATTTGTTTTAGGTTGTAACGGCTCAAATTAAATATTATAAAAAATTGTTAGGAAAATTTTGGTTATTGCTGGCCATACAATAACATTATTATGAGCTTAAACGCTAATTTGTATTAATTTTCTTTTTTTTTTTTTTGTAATAACTTGAAAATGCCTCTTCATATCGGCTTCAAACTTTCAGATGCTTATGAATGTTACATAAAGAAAGTTTCATATATACAATGGGATTTACAGGTGCCATTTTCTTCATTTTATTTAAAAAAATGGGGATTATCATAACCCCTTTTAGAGCACCAAGAAATTTCTGAATCAACACTGAACTCAACTCATTTTCTGACCCCATGAAACACTTCCGGTGGTCTTAAGACAATGGGAAAAACATTTTTCAGATTATACACCTTGTATATATATAATATATATATAATATTATATATATATATATATATATATATATATATATATATATATATATATATATATATATATATATATATATATATATATGCAATAAGATCACCCACAAACTATTCTACCCAAGAAAATTTAAAAAATTATTATTGTCCAGTGTATTATTAAATTCTTCCCAAATTCTATTAATTATAAATGGATCTAATTTATATAAACCAAAGGAAATATTCATATTATTGTCAAAACTGCTTTTTATGAAACAAGATTCAATTATATTCCTGTCGACCATGGACTTGCTTGAAAGTAGTATCAAGCAAGTCCATGGTCGACAGGAATATAATTGAATCTTGTTTCATAAAAAGCAGTTTTGACAATAATATGAATATTTCCTTTGGTTTATATAAATTAGATCCATTTATAATTAATAGAATTTGGGAAGAATTTAATAATACACTGGACAAATAATTTTTAAATTTTCTTGGGTAGAATAGTTTGTGGGGTGAGTTGTGCAAAGGACCTATCCAAGTTGGCTCGCCGCGCGTCACGTGTTTAACCGTTGTGGGATCTGATAGTGAGGTGCTGGCCGGACCCCTTATATAGCTCCCTTGGATGCTTCACTTTCATAGTTCCTTGATAATGTGAGTAGTCACGAAAGCGCTTGGAATTTCTCTATTCTTTCAGAGTGGTTGTTTTGCATATTTTGAAATCACCTGTTCATGTGATCTTATTGCATATATATATATATATATATATATAATATATATATATATATATATATATATATATATATATATATATATATATAATATATATATATATATATAATATATATATATATATATATACAACATCTTAATATATGCACCTGAAAAAATATATAGAAAAGCCTTAACTATAAGTACATTAATTTCCGAAAAAAAATATTGTCTGATAAATAAAATCTTGGTGTTTTACGATTTCGTTAATATTTTTCTTACTTATTTTATGGATGGTAACGTTATGTCTATTTACTCGAATTGGGCAGTGAAGATTTTGCTTAAGAATAAAACGTATATGATTCAATGCTGCAGCATTTGTAGCGGAAATATGACATGTACAATCAAGATATTTATTGAAGATTTTTCGCCACCAATGGCGAAACGTCTCTTTCAATAAATATTTGTACATATGCGTCTTATTCCCGCAGTCTTCCAGTAATAACACACCAGTACTTGTACAGTCATTTTTAACCTTTTATCTAATCAGGGAAAGTCAGTTATAAAAATGCTAAATTTCATATATTTTTTCTTCTTATTTTTCGTCAATCTCTGTCAAACTCTTCAGTGTTATATTTTCAAACCTTGATGGCTTTGGTTTCGTGCAGTTAGCAGAAATAGTAAAGGAAAAACATTTAAAACTAGGTAGTAGCTTGATTTATATTTATTATTATTGCAGTTCGCTGAGTCCCTCGCCGAAGAGTGAACGCCTGGTGCAGTTTTTCAGGAACCTCCACCCGGTGGCTCCACGACCGCAACACTCCCACACGCCCTCCGGCTCCGACCCACAACTTGATCAGCTCCAGCAGGCATCTTCACGATGCCAGAGCCGGAGCCTCAACACTTCTCCCACTCACTCCCAGCCAGATGCCACCAAACCAAGACTCAACACCTTCTGAGAGTAGGCCAATTGTTAGTATAGTCACAAAAAGAAGCCGACCCTGGGGAAGAGGAGGTCATCAGGTTCGGTCTAAGACCATAGTTCCAATTTCTGGGATAAAGAGCTCTTTACAAACATTAGAACGCCACTATCCAACATCCCCTGAATAGAGATTAGGACAAATCCTCTCAAAATTTTCTAATAGTCCATCAGAACTCAAGCAGGTCTCCCTCATCCTCATTTTGTACTACAGCCTCGCCGTTTTGTATATGAATTACACTACCTCGATACTGCACGGGCGCAGTCTCTGCAAATCTCTGACGTGGCCCTCCTGACCAGTCACGAGGATGGTTCTAATTTACTTAGGAACTTTAGTCACCTGTGGTTATCAGCAGAGCTGTCACAGCCTCACACAACGAGTGCTCTGAGTGCAGTATGACAAAATCTCGAGGAAAAAAACTTTGAAGTCAAAAGAAACTCGTGAACATGTACACGAAAACTCATACTACTAAAAAACAAAGTTTCCTGACGGATGAACATTATGAAACATTAGGAGAGTCGAGAGCCCTGAAACAGGAAGTTATTGTAATACCTAAGGTCTGGCCCTCCCTCCCTGATAGAAAAACACGTAACTAAAATTATCCAGTGTTAGCTTCATTATGTAGGTAAGGCTGTTTTATATTGCTTCAATTATACCAAAGTAGGTGGCTAGATTGGTTATAGTGCAGAAAAAAGCATTGGATATATATATAAATATTATTTTAGAGGAGGGGGGTGAATCTTGAAATGGGAAACAAATTAACTATAAACCAGCGATGTTAGCAGCATGAAAATAACTCCCAGTGTATACGTGTTCCGTGACGGGACGATGAAAAGAACACCTAGTGTATACGTGCTGGGCGAGCCTCGTGGCTCACTCTCCTATATTTAAGAGTTGTCGTTACAACGACAAAGACGCAACTTGCTTTGTAGTGTGGTACGTTTGAAAGCGTTTGTGAGATTTTTTCTCACCCCTGTGAGAGTCTGTAAAAACAAAGAATTTATCAAAGTATTTTGATATACTACTAGCATTTGCAAAATTTTGGTGTTCTGTGTATACAAATACCTATTCTGTAAGCTACATATATATTATATATATATATATATATATATATATATATATATATATATATATATATATATATATACTGTATATATATATATATATATATATATATATACATATATATATATATATATATATATATATACATATATATATATATATATATATATATATATATATATATATATATATATATATATATATATATATATATATATATATATATATATATATATATATCATGATAATACAATATAACACTTGTAAATCACTTAGAAAATACACATTTTGAAAACTGATATGAAACAAATATGTAAATATTTGCATCCATCATATATTTACTGTTTCCTCAAAGTACGTCTCTCCCCCAAATATATATATATATATATATATATATATATATGTCGTGCCGAATAGGCAGAACTTGCGATCTTGGCTTAAATAGCAACGCTCATCTTGCCATATAGGACAAGTGAAAATTTGTGTATGCAATAATTTCGCCAAAATCATTCTGAACCTAAGAAAAAAAATATATTTGATTGTGTTTGTTTAGTATTAAATTATTGTAAACGTATTTAAAATATATTTAGTTGGGTTAGGCTAAAATAAATTCTTCTTGTTATAATAAGGTTAGGTAAGTTTTCTAAGATACTTTTGTGCAAAATTAAAAATTTTTACATTAACACTAATGAAAAATATATATCTTTAAACGTATAAGAGAAAATTTTCGAAAGGTCTTAATTTTAAATGAGTTCTTGCTAATTGACCAGTTTTACATATTCGGCACGACATATATATATATATATATATATATATATATATATATATATATATATATATATATATATATATATGTGTTGTGTGTGTGTGTGTGTGTGTGTGTGTGTGTGTGTGTGTGTACTCACCTAGTTGAGGTTGCGGGGGTCGAGTCCGAGCTCCTGTGTGTGTGTGTGTGTGTGTGTGTGTGTGTGTGTGTGTGTAGAAAATATAAAAGTACTACTTTGCCAGTTTTCAGAAGAGTTATATTTCACTAACAATATTTGAAACCACTTGTAGGACCATGTGATTTATTTTAATAACATAGAATGAAAGCACAACTCTTCACCTAGTAGACAGTATATTCATTCACAAACGATATACATACATGTATGGAGTTAATTATAAGAGAACTTACATGCAGGAGCCAGCTTAAGATTTGTCTGCAGATGACTATGTCCAATATTCTTCCTATCATCTTGATGAGTTATACACATGTGTCATAATCATCGAGCATTATTCAGATCAAATTAATGATTCACTCACATATGTAATGATCATCAGTTTTTCGGCATAGTATTCCTGTAAAATAAAGGTTCAACAGCACCGTGAAATTTTAGTACAGACAGCACAAAATTCTACAACCTAGTTCCTACGTCTAACCTACCCAGTTTGCTGACCTACTTCCACTAGTGGGACCCCCGTCCACATGTGCCCAAGCCTACCACTGCTGCATCTCTCAAATCCTTCCACTAGGTCCGCTATAAAAATGTTCCATTCTTAAATCTGTGTTAAACTGAAAAAGTCCCCTGGTGGGCGAAACGTCTCTCAGTAAAGATACCCAAGTGTTGAACATGTGTCTAACTAATGACCATAAATTGCCTGTTTACCTCAAATGTTGAAAACTTGCACGCGCATGTTGCTGACTTGTACACACATGTTGCTGACCTGCACACACATGTTGCTGACTTGTACACACATGTTGCTGACCTGCACACACATGTTGCTGACTTGTACACACATGTTGCTGACCTGCACACACGTTGCTGACCTGTATACACTCATTGCTTCCCTGTACACACACGTTGCTGGCCTGCACACACGTGTTGTTGGCCTGTACACACATGTTGCTGACCTGTACACACATGTTGCTGGTCTGTATACACATGTTGCTGGCCTATGCACACATGTTGCTGGCCTATGCACACATGTTGCTGATATGCATGCATATGATGGAGACCTGTACACACATGTTGACCTGTACAACACATGTTGCTGACATGTACACATATGTTGCTGACCTGCACGCACATGTTGCTGACTTGTACACACATGTTGCTGACCTGCATGCACATGTAGCTGACTTGTACACACATGTTGTTGGCCTGTACACACATGTTGGTGACCCATATGCACATGTTGTTGCTGAACTGTACACACATGTAGCTGACCTGTACACTCATGTTGCTGACTTGTGCACACATGTTGCTGACCTGTACACATATATTGCTGGCCTGTATACACATTTTGCTGACCTGTACACATATGTTGCTGGCCTGCACGCACATGTTGCTGATCTGTACACAAGTTGCTGACCTGTACACACACACATTGCTTGGCTCTGGTGGCCTGGTGGCTGAAGCTCTCGCTTCACACGGCGAGGGTCTGGGTTCGATTCCCAGTCGGGTAGAAACATTGGGCGTGTTTCTTTACACCTCTTGTCTATGTTCACCAATCAGTAAATTGGGTACCTGGGTGTTAGTCGATTGGTGTGGGTTGCATCCTGGGACACTGACTTAATTTGCCCGAAATGCTCAGCATAAGAGGCGACTTTCTACATAGTAGTATGTCATTGATGTCAGCTAGGCCTGTATACCTTGTACATGTACTTGTAGTAAATAAAGATATTAATATTTACACACACACTGCTGGCCTATACACACATGCTGGCCTGTACACACACACACACACACACACACACACACACACACACACACACACTATACTGCCCTGTACACACACATTGCTGGAATATTCACACATTGCTGGCCTGTTCACACACATTTCTGGCCTGTACACACACATCAGCTGGCCTGTACATACAAACATTAGCTGACCTGTACACACACGTTGCTTGCCTGTACACACACATACACACACACACACACAGACACACACATTGCTGGGCTGTACACACACATTGATGACCTGTACACGCATATTGCTGACCTGTATACACATGCTGTTTTCCTGTACGCACACACGTTGCTGACCTGTACACACACGTTACTGATCTGTACACATATGTTAGCCTAACACGAACTACCCAGAGCTACAAAATTGCCAGTAAACACCTGTAATCACAGTTATTCTTGTGCTAGAACAAATATTTGTATAATTTATATTCAAAAACATGAATAATGTTGAAGATATTTGTGACTGTGTTAGAAGGAAGAAATTGTGAATTGTGTAAAATGAGTGAATATTGTTATAAAATTACTATTGCGTAAAAAAATGATCTGCATGTGTAGCACTAATTATAAAATTTTGCTAGTACACAAATGGTATGTTTTTTCTATTATTTTTAATTATTATTATTATATGAGTAGGTATAGTAGTAGTAGTAAGTAATGGCACTCTACTAGTACTCATTAGATTGGCAGTAGTAGTAATAGTAGTAGCAGGTACTAGCAGTTATTACCTTATAGTTGTACTAGAGTGTAGTTGTAACGTAGTAGTAGTAGGTAGTAGTAGCAGCAGTAGTTAGTGATGGTTAGTAGTAGCTAGCAGTAGTAGTGAGTAGGTAGTAGTAGCAGCAGTAGTAGTGATGGTAGTAGTAGCAGCAGTAGTAGTGATGGTAGTAGTAGCAGCAGTAGTAGTGAGTGGTAGTAGTAGCAGCAGTAGTAGTGATGGTAGTAGTAGCAGCAGTAGTAGTGGTGGTAGTAGTAATAGCAGTAGTAGTGGTGGTAGTAGTAGCAGCAGTAGTAGTGGTGGTAGTAGTAGTAGCAGTAGTAGTGGTGGTAGTAGTAGCAGCAGTAGTAGTGGTGGTAGTAGTAGCAGCAGTAGTAGTGGTGGTAGTAGTAGCAGCAGTAGTAGTAGTGATGGTAGTAGTAGCAGCAGTAGTAGTGGTGGTAGTAGTAGCAGCAGTAGTAGTGATGGTAGTAGTAGCAGCAGTAGTAGTGATGGTAGTAGTAGCAGCAGTAGTAGTGGCTGGTATAGTAGATAGCAGCGTAGTAGTGGTGGTAGTAGTAGCAGCAGTAGTAGTGGTAGTAGTAGTAGCAGCAGTAGTAGTAGTGATGGTAGTAGTAGCAGTAGTATAGTGAGTGTTAGTAGTTGCAGCAGTAGTAGTGATGGTAGTAGTGCAGTCAGTAGTATAGTGGTAGTAGTAGCTAGCAGTAGTAGTGATGGTAGTTGTCAGCATTAGTAGTGTAGTGGTAGTAGTAGCAGCAGTAGTAGTGATGGTAGTAGTAGCAGTAGTAGTAGTAGTGGTAGTAGTAGCAGCAGTAGTAGTGGATGGTAGTAGTAGCAGCAGTAGTAGTGTAGTGGTAGTGTGGCAGCAGTTAGTAGTAGGTGGTAGTAGTAGCAGCAGTAGTAGTGGTGGTAGTAGTAGCTAGCAGTAATAGTAGTGGTAGTTAGTTAGCAGCAGTAGTATGATGGTAGTAGTAGTAGCAGGTAGTAGTGGTGGTAGTAGTAGTAGCAGTAGTAGTGGTGGTAGTAGTAGCAGCAGTATGTAGTGGTGGTAGTAGTTAGCAGCAGTAGTAGTGGTGGTAGTAGTAGCAGTAGTACTGGTGGTAGTAGTAGCACAGTAGCAGTGGTGGTAGTAGTAGCAGCAGTAGTAGTGGTAGTAGTAGTAGCAGCAGTAGTAGTGGTGGTAGTAGTAGCAGCAGTAGTAGTGGTGGTAGTAGTAGCAGCAGTAGTAGTGGTAGTAGTAGTAGCAGCAGTAGTAGTGGTAGTAGTAGTAGCAGCAGTAGTAGTGGTGGTAGTAGTAGCAGCAGTAGTAGTGATGGTAGTAGTAGCAGCATAGTGGTGGTGTAGTAGTAGCACAGTAGTAGTGGTGGTAGTAGTAGCAGCGTTAGTAGTGGTGGTAGTAGTAGCAGCAGTAGTAGTGGTGTAGTAGTAGCAAGCAGTAGTAGTGGTGGTAGTAGTAGCAGCAGTATGTAGTGGTGGTAGTAGTAGCAGCAGTAGTAGTGGTAGTAGTAGTAGCAGCAGTAGTAGTGGTAGTAGTAGTAGCAGCAGTAGTAGTGGTGGTAGTAGTAGCAGCA